ATATATATATATATATATATATATATATATATATATATATATATATATATATATAAATATATTCTACAGACTACAAGATATGCGATTTAATGGTATTCTACATATTATCTGATATTTTTTTATACACTAGAAGTTGTTATCATGCATTACTTGATATATGTGTTCAGAGATTTCGATAGTTTACTTTCATGATAAGTTTTGTTTACAACTCGCATGCCGATCAGCCTTAAAAGTAGCATACTAGTTTGTTTATGAGAAATCAGTAATTGTATTCTTACTTAAAGAACACACTCGTCTCTACATCCCATATTAGTAAACGCGCCCTCTTGGCAAGCGCCAGGTCTATTCGTGTCGGGAACATATGGTGTCAGGGAGTCCCACTAGGAACCATATAGTATCAGGCTAGGAACAACATAGTATCAGGCTAGGAAGCAAGGAGTATCAGGCTGGGAAGCATAGAGTTATAGGATGCTAGGAAGCACATAGTATCAGGCCAGGAACCACATAGTATCAGGCTAGGAACCACATAGTATCAGGCTAGGAAGCACGGAGTATCAGGCTAGGAATCACATAGTATCAGACTAGGAAGCACAGAGAATCAGGCTAGGAACCACATAGTATCAGGCTAGGAAGCACCGAGTAGGGGGTTATTAAGCACAGAGTATCACGCTATGAAGATTTATTGTGCTCCTTATTGGATCAAACTCTGCAAGTGTGCATAGCAGTTTTACACATGCGGTGACAAAATTTGTCTGATTATATTTGTTGAAGGCTACAGCGGTCTACTAGCTATGATGTGCGCCCATCTTAACTCTACGACATTCTTTTAGTGAAAATACAACAATGCTAGGAGCTAAGCAAAATACATACAGAACTGCATATTTGGTGGTATCAACTATTGCTACCGTCTGTTCTGGGTTTGTAAAGGAGTAACTTTAAACTCTGACTTTTTTACAAGTTGTTTTGTAGTCACTTATTTAATTAAACAAATGATATTGTGAGAAATGCTATAGCGATGACAAAAATGGTTTTCTTGTTTGTCAAATCAACGACAGCCCTGAAACCATACTTTGCATGTTGGTATCAATGAATATACCTCACGTTTTCAAACAACCTAACTCAACTCGGTCAGGTCTTATGGTTTCTTTTATACAAATGTCTGAAACTTTCACCATTTAAACCAAAATGATTCTCTTTGCTGCGCTTCCCCCCAAAAAAAAAAATGTCATCAGTTTGGAACATTCGGTTCTCAACCTGTGGGTCGCAACCCCATCGGGGGGTCGAACGACCCTTACATAGGGGTCGCCTAAGGCCATCGGAAAACAAATTTGTTATGAAGTGGCAACGAACATAATTTTATGGTTGGGGGTCACCAAAACATGAGGAACTGTATTAAAGGGTCTGTGCATTGGGAAGGCTGAGAACCGATGGTTTAGAGAGATGCGTAGTGTTTAAGAGATGGTATTTTAAATAAAGACTATAATGACAAAAAGTTTATGGATAAATTGCCTAATAGAAAATTTGTTAGAA